ATGGTATGCAGACAGGCTGCAGCTGAAGCACAGGTCCCCATCCCCCTCCCTCTCCCAGTGCAGGCAGTGGCAGAGTGAAGTACCTGTCACCCACCACCTACTCAGGGCAGCCCTGGGTGCTCGGGGGGTTGGGGGGCACTGCTGCTGGCCAGGGATGTAGGAAGAGGCAGGGGCAGGCAATGAACCAATGCAGCCAGGTCCAGTCTGGCCCCGTGGCCCAGAAATGCAGCCCAGTCTAGCCTGGACCTGCAGCCCAGTGATGTAGGCAGTGAATGGCCCGAAGCAGCCCATCCCAAGATCCCGGCACTGTCACGAGCAGGCAGTGGATGACAGGTACCTCACCTCTGCCTGCTGTAATGGTTTGTTCTGCCGCTGCCGCCAGGAGAGGGAGGGGTGGCCTGCTGCAAGCCAGTTGCTCCCTAACTCCCTGGTCTGCAGGGCTGGGCTGGAGCAGGCTGTACTCCCAGGCCATTGGGTCAGGCCAGACCAGGCTGCACAGTTCATTGCCTGCACACATTCCTGGCCCACAGCAGCCTACCTTGAGCACCCAGCACCACCACAAGAAGGCAGCAGGTGACAGGTGCTTCACCTCCACCTGCCACAATAGTTCACTCTGTCTCCACCTCTGCCACTGCTGTCGGGAGAGGGAGTAGGAGTAGGGTGGGGAGCTGCGCTGCAGCTGCAGCCTACCTTAGAACTGTAGCCCCCACATGGGCCTGGGGGTGGGAAGCAATGGGCTCTGACCCCACCCCCTGGGACTGCCCCAGCCCAGGCCATGCTGCTGCAGTGGGAGGCAGTGGTGAGTCAAGCTAAGTAACTAGCCCTGGCTCCCCCCACCCCCTGCAGCCAAGTTACATCCTCCTGCCCCCTCCCCATGGCTGGCTGGCCACTCCTCTGAGGGTCTTGGCACCACTGCTTCCTGCAATGAGGGGATTAACCCCCACCCCTTCCCCTCAGGCTACTGGAGTCTGGACACTATGGCCCTGTCTGCACAGCCCCAGGTGCACAAGCAGAGCCTATCGGTGCTCATGCGACACCCTCCCCTCCACCCCACATTGGAGGGATTAAACACCTGCTTCCCCTCAGGCTACTGGAGTCTGGCTCTGCCCCCACTCCTGCTGCTGGAGCAGCAAGGGGGGTAGGGGTCTGGGAATGCCTGGCAAGGGCTTCTGCCCCCTTGCCAGATAGACCCAGCTGCACTCCAAAGCAGGATTTCCCCACCCATTTCTCAGCCAGCTGGAGCAGTGATAGTGCCCCAGCTAGGGAGGAGCAGGGCAGGGTCAACCCTGGTTGGCTGGAACAGACAGCCTAGCCCAAGGCTTCAGAGAATGCTGGGAAGCTGAAGAACTCTGATTGAACTTAAACCAGGAAGGGGTCTGGGACACAAGTTCCATAAACTAGCTTGACCTCAATCCGTTACGTCTGAAACTGCATTCAACTAAGTTTATCTCAAACTGGTTTTGGCCATTTTGAAATTGGTTTATGTGCACTGAACTCATGTTCTGTTACAAGTTTAAACCGGTTTCTGATCACTTAAACTGGTTTATGTGTAACTTCTGTCCCTAGCCAGCAAGATCTTTCATACGGATGTTTCATATAAACAAAGTACAAGACAATTAAATCTCTATACTGAATTTCTAAAGGAAAATTTCCCTTATGCTTTCCAGATTCCTTTCTTTATAAAGTGAGGACCACAGTTAATCTATAGATCTATTTTTCAATACTGTAGCATGCCAAGCCCACTCTTTCCCAATAGGTTTAAGCCCTACTTTCTGCTGTGTCCTCTGAAGGTGAGCCCTCTTCCCCCTCATACTCACCTCAAGCCCCTTAGGGTATAGCAGGATATAAAATAAAATGCAGTAATTGGCAAAAACATGTTAGTCACCACTAACTCCCTTCTTCCCTAGAGAAAAGTTACCTGGAAGAGAAGAGTCACCAGTAGCACACCCACAGTCGGCTTGAAGGGAGGGAGTGACAATCATTTAGAACAAAAAATATTTGCATAATGCCTCAGGTGCTGGTCTAGTCAGAATGGGAAAGGACACAGGAAGGGAATGCTGCAACTGAATTCATTGAGGTATGAATTCCCACACACATTTTCCCTCCCTGTAAGGATGGTTGTATTTTTAACCCCTGTAGTAGGACCACTTTCCTGTTCTCCACCTAGAAATAAAAAGTATTGGTTGGATTGTGTTTATCTGATATCCTCATCCAAATGCCTTCTCCTAAATAGGACTAGGCAGGATATCCTTCACTCCAAACCCCACAGAGCCTCATGGCAGCACCTTGTAGTCAGGTGGCTCTTGATTCTGTCCTTCCAGCCCCCTGCTGGACTCATAGAAGCACAGAGAATCATACAGAAGTAAGGCTGAAAGGGACCTCCAAAAGTCACCAAGTCCAACACCCTGCTTGAGGCAGGATCACCCCTATCCAACCTATCCTATACAAATCCATTATCTAACCTCAAACAAAACTACACAACCGACCCTAAGAAAACATAAGATATAATACCCTGACCTGCCACAAGTAAAACAGGGGGACCACAGCAGCCAACATCTTCCTGTGGCAAGGGTTGTAAATAAACGCCCTTGAGATCCCAGGTAGAGGGCCATGCTCACCACTACAGAGGAAGCAAAAACCTCCATCAATCCATAGTAATCTGACCATGGCATAAAATTCCCTCGTAACCCCAAATATGGTAATTGGTTTGACCCTGAGCAGTTGGGCAAAAACTTAAACTAGGGAAAGCTCCAGGTTAAAGTCCCAGCAGGAGGATGGACCACAGTCAAAATCCCCAGCATTGGCTGCACCAGCCTCCAATGCCTTTGAAGAAGGTTTATAAAAACACTGACACATGTACTTGTTGTGGGTGGGGTGGGGTGGGGGTGAAATTCCCTCCTGGCCTGTTCAGGAACCTGCAAAGCTCCAAAGCACTGAAAATAACCATAGCAGAATATAGGCATAGCTATACCTAGATTATTCCTTACCATTGGCTATCCAACCTCTTCTTGAATACCTCCAGTGATGGAGAGTCCAAAACAGACCCTTTATCCGTTTCCCATTATGGCTAGGGACAGACATTCAAAAAGCCTGAGCCTGTATTGATTTAATCTTTGAAGTTAGTCTAACCTGCCTAGGCTGAATCAGTTTGTAACTGTACAGATATCCCCCCTGGACTGAAAAAATGCAGGCACACACCTGCAATGGGTCAGGCTAGAAGCTGGGGGGTGCTAGAGCAGCCCTCCCTTCCCTTCGTTCAATGCTGAGCTGACTGGGGGTATGGCCAGGCCCTGGCAGGATGCTCTGGATAGGAAGGGGTCGTTCATTCCCTCCTCCCCCCCTCCCTCCACTGCTGGTCAGCAAGGGAGCCAGCAGGGATTTACACAGCACTTAGTTACACAGCAAGGAGCATTTATCAGCCCATCAGCAAACAAAAGTATCTCTCATTAGTTCAACCTCTTCTTAAACAACTAGTTCCAAGGAAGGAATGGAGGGACATTACCAGCTACCTGTTGATTAGCTCCAAAAAGCCCTAAGTGACACTGTGCCTTTGTCCCATCTCCCACAGCAAGAACGATAGCCAGCATGTGGTATGCTAGCTAATGCTGAGAGGTATCTGTGTAAGACAGAGGGGAAGGGGGGATCCCTGATTCAACAGGGAATGGTGAGGGTAGGAGGGAGGAGGAGAAAGCCAGGCAGATGCCCTGTGCCTGCAACTCTCTACTGGAGCTCCTGCAAGTCTCTGTTGGAGCTGCAGCCAGGGAGCAGAGGGGAGAGGTCAGCCCAGCTCTCTGGAGCTAAGAGCCCTGCCCTGCCCAGCCCAGAGAGCATGCCGGGATGCTGGGGGACTCTGGTTTAACTTAAACCAGCAAGGGGTCTGGGACAGACATTGCATAAACTGGTTTGACCCAGTTAAGTCTGATACTGCATTCAACCAGGTTTATCTCAAACCAGTTTCAGCCATTTTTTCAAATGGGTTTATATGCACTGAACATCTGTTCTGTTACAGGTTTCTGATTACTTATACCAGTTTATGTATAATCTCTGTCCCTAGTCTATAACACAGATGCTTGGCATTCAGCATCTACACAGGGAAAAGGGTATTTCTCCCTTCAATATTATTATATTTTATTATACAATGTTATATATATTATTATATTATATAGTCATAATTGATTCCAAGATGAACATGGGCCACTAATGTGAGGACGTGGTCAGTAAGGGCAACTGCATCTTGCCATGCATCCACAGATGCATCGTGAGGAGGTCCAGGGAGGTGATCCTCCTCCTCTATGCAACATTAGTCAGACTGCAGTTGGAGTAATAAATCTAGTTCTGGGCACCGCACATCAGGAGGAATGTGGACAGCATTGAGAGGGTCCAAAGCAGGGCCACTTGCATGATCAAGGGGCAGCAGGGCAGGCTGTACGAGGGGAGGCTACAGGACCTGAACCTGTTCAGCCTCCACAAGAGAAGGGAGGCATCTGGTGGCCGTCTATAAACTTACCAAGGGGGACCAGTGGGGAAAGGGAGAGACCCTGTTCCCCCGAGCACTACCAGGAGTAACTAGGAATAATGACTGAGAGGAGGTTCAGGCTGGACATCAGGAAGCACTACTTCACAGTCAGGGCAGCTAGGATCTGGAACCAACTTCCAAGGGACCCCTGGGGGTCTTAAAAAGGAGGCTAGATAATCACCTTGCCGGGGTCGTTTGACCCCAGTACTCTTTCCCGCCATGGCAGGGGGTCGACTTGATGATCTGCTCAGGTCCCTTCCAACCCTACCAACTATAAAACGATTATAAAATAATTTTGAATGGATTTATGTTGTGATGCTACTAACCAAAGTGGAGAATATAGGAATACTTCAGTCCTGTAAGGAAAACTAATACGTTTGTGTTTGAATGTTCTGTCAAAGCTTTATAATTCCCAGGTCCTTTAATAGCAAGCCACAGATTCCTGGAAAAATCTCATAAACTGAACATATGGACCTTTCCTTACCCTGATATTTGGCTTGGTTCTCTTTCATGACTGAGAAATTCTGTTTCCACCTCTGTTTCTTGTTCAGTTACCATGTCACTTCTAGGATGTTGTTGTGAACACACTTCCCATTCACCGTCATCACCGACAACCTGCAATAAAAGAGCATCTGTCCCTGTGATACTTGCATTCTTGTTCTCTTTACTCAGACTATCCAAGGAAGAATACTCCTTTTGTTCAAATGATTTTTGAGGATTTTTTTCTTGCTGAACATCAGCTTGTATGTTGTGAATCAACTCCTGGACTGAAACAGTCTCCAGCTCTTTTGCAGAATGTCTGGGCCCCAAGTTCCTTGCCTCTGTCCTGCTGAAAATTTCTTCAGGTGATATATCATTGACTTCATTTGGTCCTAGGACTATCCAGCCACAGCTTTCTGGAGATCTCTTTTCATCACCCAGGTTTGGAGGCATAATAGAAGGACTTTTCTGTGCTAAGTGAAAAGAATCCCATTCAGTCCCCAAAACAGAATGGCCTTCGCTTTCATTTATCATGGAGATTGACTGAAATGTATCCGATGAGTCAGCTGAAAAGGCTTCATGAGACTCTGTTTGTTCAGTAACGTTAGCTTTGTTAAATGTAAAATCACTTTCCTCTGTTTTAGGTATATCCTTCCTTGCAGATGTATTTCCTTCACTAATCATAAGGATGTAATCCATCTGTAATGCAGTCTGATCTACCTTCATATCTTCCTTACTGTTTATATGCATCAGCTCAAGGCTTGCAGTGGAAGTCCTCTGCTTACTGTCTTTATAATGTGGGTCACCAGCAGCTTCTAAAATTAAAAATGAACAAACAAAATGTGTTTTGGTTGCTGCCAATTAGCAAAAATTGTTTTATCAAATGAATCCTGCAAAATAAATCCACTTTCTATTTTTTCTCATAGTTTATATTCCCTGTTAACCTCCTCCTGAATTAACAATAATAAATAATAATAAACATATAACATGGTGGCAATACCTATTAGCCAACTAGCTTGGGATCTCATTGTGCTATGCATTTGTAGTAAATGAATCCCTACCTCAAAAAAGCTGAGAGAGAATACAGGTCTTTCCAAATCAAAGTGCTGGACTTCAGGAAGACCCATGCCTTTCAAAACTGATACAAGTTCAGTTTTACTGTTTGGTAGCTATAGCATATCACGTACACTTTGTCTCATGAACTTGCTTCACTAGCAAGTGCGTAAGTTCTTACCATGGGCCGATCCTAGGGCTCCATCTGGTGGTGAATCAGTATTACTTGTTTCCGCTTCATGTTCTAATCTTGTCAAAATCTCAGCTGAATTGAGCATTGCTTCAGAATCTAACGATAAAGATCTTGATGCACGATACTCCTTGGGACAATCTGCAAGTGTGCCAAATAGCTGATCATTAGTATTGCTGCCTTTGGTCTCTAAAAAGCTTATTTCTTCTTTTTGAGGAGTATGTGAAGATAATGGCATTTCCACTACACCACTGTCAAGAAACTGCTGTGTTAATACAATCTTACCCGTTGTGCTCTCTCTGCTGCCAGTGACTCCTGTATCAAATGGTACACTAGGTGGAGAAGTGTATGTGATTTGTGCCTGTTCATTAAGCAATTCTTTAAATAAAGGAGCCTGGCTTTCAAGTAAGATTTCAGATCCTTTTACTACATTATCAGCCTGCTGACTGAATGAGCCACATGTAAAACCTTCACTATCAACCTCTTGTGAGTCTTTTAAGGATAGCATTTGTTTATCGGCTGTATGCCTTTCCATTGCTGCCATCTGTTTGCTTTCTAACAGTGATGCTTGGCTCACTTCTTCTACAGTCCTGAATGGATTGTTAGTGACTGGTGAATTATCAGTATTCACTTCTATACCAGTCTCAGTCCTATCACATATATCTGATATTTCTAATTTATCATTAGTCACTGCTGTGTGATCAATAGCTGAAATGTATCCAGTTTCAGCTACAGCACTCATATCTTTTATGCTTTCTTCAGAGCTTCCAGGAGAAGATAAGGGGGTGGCAATTAAATCATTTTGAGAACTAACAATATTGGCTGAAGCTGAGTCTTGATGGTTTGCAGAAGTGCTACCTTCATACCACACGTCTTCAAGAGTTAAAGGAGCCATGCTCAAATCTTCAGCAGAGGAACTTGCTGAACCCATTTGTACAACAGCTGGTTTATTTTCTAAGTCAGATTCTTTTAAGATATTTTCCCTGCCAAATTCCAAAGGTTCATGAGCTTCAGAAGATAATAGTTGATAGGACTCATCACCATTTGTCCCATCATTATTTTCGGGGTTGCCTTGTTCAGGATATGTTGCTACTTCGGGTGTTTCTAATAGCGGTTTAAAACCAAACCCTGCTTCTTGGCTTATATTTGACACTGCAAGAAGCGAGTGACTCACTTCATCTCCAGCTCCAGCTGAAGCACAAGAAGATGGTGCAGATGTATGCTTGACTTCATGTTCTTGGCACACATCAGGACTGTTTGACGTCTGTGAGCTACTGTCTTGGTCACAGTGACTTAATATATCAGGATTTTCACCACTTGCTTTCAAAGTGAAAAGATGTTCAGCATCAGTCCATAAATCAGGATCTATTGAGAATGAACGATTAATCTCCTGGGCATTGCTGTGTAAAATATCTGGGATAAATGTAGTTTGGGGAATTTCAGCTGGTTCATTTCTGTCTGGGTTTAATTTTGCTGTCAATTTAAAGGATGAATCATATGCAATGACAGCATTTTCTGGGGAGCTACACAGTTTTAATGTTTCAGTTGCATCTGATTGTTCTTGAACAAAAACATTTACTTTGTCCTCTCCAGTTGAAGTACTGGGTATCATATCCACATAATCTCTTGCTGAGTTTGCCTGAGCCAATATGTTTGGTATGTCCAGTTGACACTCTTCTACAACAGGACTTTTAGTATGGTCATGATCTTGCTGCACTATAGCAAATGGCTGCTCTTTTAAATCCTTTTCTTCTTTACAAAGTATGAATGGATCATACACTTTAAACAGCAGAGGGTCTTGATCCATTTGACTATTGTGAATATTCATGGAGTGCACCCGGTCTTCCTGTTGTTGTTCTTCACAGTACAGAAGGGGTGAATGATTTCCATCGCTACCTGTGTCAGTTCGATGCGTATCTTTTAATTCTTCACTTTGTATATGTGATCCCCATGCATCCAGTTTAGTGTTTAACTGATTAATTTCTAAGCCATTATCTGAATTAAAATATTGGCCTTCCACGGTCTCAACTGCTTGCATTTCTGAATTCCACCATCCGAAATTATCATCTGGAAATCCAGATGTTTCCACTCTGGATTTTTGTTCTATTTTAGAATCAGTTTCCAATGATATTCTCAATGTATCTGAATCCTTGGAAGAGCACTCTTCCTTATGATGTGCTGCAGGAGTTGGTGACATATCACCACTCAGCTGGCATGAATTCCAGACACCTGAACTGTCTGGATTGCCACTGTCTGCATTTCCTTGAACGTCTCTCTGAATTGTTTCCTTACGTTCTAAGCCTTCAGAAGACTCGGGTATACTGTGATCAGACATGGGTGAGTGAGTAATATCATTTTCCTTTGTTACAGTCCATGCTTTGATGTTTTCAGAACTGTTATCCAAAATAGCCATTTCCTCCTCTTTTTCTAATTTAGTTTCATCCTCTGAACTGTTTTCATCTATTTCAGGACTTGTTGCATCAGACTGTGCATAATAAGGCCCATGTAGTTCAAGAACTTTATGTCCATTTGCTCCCTGGTTGGAATCTGCTTCTATCTCTGCCTCAAGAGCATCTGATTTCTCTGAATCCTCATTTACTTCAGGACTTGACAAGGAAGATACTGTATCGTCATCTACATGTGCATTCCAGAAATCTAAATGTATTGGAACTTTGCGATCAGTGCTTGTTTCAGACTCTTCTTGACTTTTAGTCTCAAACATCTTTTTTTCAGGAATCTTTATTTCAGGAGTCTCTTCTAATTTCTCATTATGTGTAATGTTCCAGGTCTCTTTATTTTCTCTATGATTATTGGTAGCTGGGATGACCCCCCAGACATTCACAGAGGCATCACTTATATCAGGGCTTGTTGTATTTGAATAGGTGTAATCATTTGTTGAACCACTCCATACATTCTCCTCTTCACAATAACTTTTGATTTTTAGATCTCTGGATAGGCTACTCCAGGTGTTTGCCACATCAAGAACCTCACTTGTCTCAGGAGTTGCTCCAGGGGACTGTACATCTTCATGCATGTGTGAATTCCAAACACTTAAAGTTTGGGGGAAATTATGAAGAGATGTGACATCCACATCTTCCTTGTCTAGAAGTTTACTCTCCATTTCTAAACTTTCAGAAGCTTCATTTCTCTCAGAATCTATTCCATGTAAAAATGAATTATCCCTCATAGGCATATTTGTAATACCATGAACTTCAGCATATCCAGAAGAGGGATTCTCTTGCAATTTAATCTTCAGAGTTTCATTCACAAAAGATTTTTCAGTATCAGACCCTAACTCGAGACTATTTTCAGAAGAACCTAATTCAAACTTACAAATGTCTAAATTGTTAGGGACCTCATCAGATAAACTCTCGTGAGCTTCTCTTAACACCTCTGATGCTTTATTTATCAAATGACTTGGTGCAGCAGAGTGAGAGCTACTCTTCACAGTGGCATTCCAGATATCCAGATTGTCAAGCACTGTTGGAGAATGCATTTCTTGATTAGCCTCCCCTCTATCAGAGCTTTCAGAGGCACTTCCCATTTCTGGACTTGTTGCGTCCTCTACCTCTATACCTTCCTTATCAGTATTTTTAAGAAGTAACTGGGGTATTATACTATGGTTGTACATTTGTGGATTATGTACATCTAAATCCCCAGAATGTCCTTCTGTCTCAACAATTATTGAAGAAGACTCTGCGTTGCTCTGTAATGATCTAATCCTCTCTTCCTGATTGACAAAACTAGTCTGATTAGAAAGTGGCATTTCTATTTCTGATTTCTCTATTTCCAGAGCTTCAAAACTGCCACGGTTTCTTATTTTTTCTGGTGAGCTAGGAATTTCAGATTTTGACTTGCTTTCCTCTGAATCTGTACCAGAGGGCGGTTTGAATGGTATTAAGGGGGATGCATCACTATCTTGCACAGTCCAAATGTTCCTAATGGTTAACTGTCCACTTGCCTCATTCATTCTTGTATTTTCATCTTCTTGCTGCTGAGAGGTACCACAATTTTCCCATCCTGCCTGATGGCTCTGTTGAATTGGTACACTCCACAGATTCAACTGCTGCACTGAAAGCTGAGTACTCTGCTCTGAATCCTTATGAATACTTTCTTGGGTTTGATCTTTATGTGAAATCTCACTTTCTGAGTTACTTGTTGCCAAGTCCAAATGTTTACCCCTGTCTGAACTTGTAGATAACTCAATGTCCTCTTCAGGGCCCCTGCTCCCTATTTCTTCTTTTTCAGCTGCAGTCTCTCTGGCATTCAATTCATTATGTGGCTGAGGTAAGTGATTCTTTGTTTGATTAAATACAAGTGGCACTCTAGGGTCTTCAGCATTAAAATGTTTATTTTCACCAACTTCCTCATCTGCTGAAAAATGTTGAGTAAGCATTTGTTCTGAATTAAGTAAAAGTTTATCAGTGTTTGGTAGAATTTCAGAATTTTCTGCTTTCCACTGGCTGCCATTATTCAGAGGTGAATCCCACAAGTCCACATTTCCAGGGTTTGCATAAGGTATATTTCTAGTACATGCTTGCGGTAATGATGCCTTATCTGTTTCCTCAAAAAAACTAGATTCATCTGCATTTGAGCTAATTGCTTGATCAAAAATTGTTTCTTCATAAAAATGCCTTTCTTCACCTTCCTTCTCATCCTCTATAAATGTAGGTGAAACATATGAGTCAGATGTTGAATAATTGGTGTCTAATGGAGAAACAACCAACTCTTCACCCCCATTTGATGAACTAAGGTCTGAGCATTTATATGACAAAAAAGAGCCTTCCCAGGGAACCAGAGCTTCCAGAGCTTCTTTCTTCATGTTTTTATCATACAGCTCCAATGCATCCATCTTTTCAAATTGTTTTGGTCTCAGTTTAGTGTCACTTAAAACATTTTGATTTTCTATGCTTAGTTCAGGATTGTCCTGCACACCATCCATATTAGAACTTGTATTTTCAGATATTCTGAATTCTTCCACTAAATAGCCTCTCCCATTATTCCAGGCTTCTGGTGATAGTTGATTGTTTGGGTTTTCAGACTCATTGTCTGCAGTGATTTCTGAAGTATCCGATAAACTAGTTTGGGACATGACCCACGCATCAGGATTCCTTGTTGAAGTTTGTTCAGTATCCAGTTTGGGCACGTTCCATGCATTTTCCAAGGGCTCTGTGGCATCATGATCAATCTTTGTCCAAACATCATAAGATTCTGCATCAAGTTGCCCATTTTCACCTACAGTACTGTACCATGGATCTGGTGTTGGTTCATTGGACTTCCACAAATCAGTGAAGTCCTCCATTTGTTGCTTAGACTCCTCTATAGACTCACTTTGCAAACAACTATGTTCAGTAGTTTTCTTCTGGAGTTCTAGGCTCTGTTTGTCCTGGACTGGGTTAAACTGGTTTTCCCACAGACCTACTCTTGAATATTCCATCTGCCTTGATTGTTTCTGGAAGAATACAGAATCTGAGGCTCTTCTGTCAAAATGTTCCCGTAGTAATGGACTCATTTTACGATCTTTCCATGAATCAGGACTCTGAAATACAGATTCCTGCTCACTTGAACTCCATGCATCAGCATTTTTGGTATCTAAATCAAAGCCATCCCACCAACTTCCATACCTAACACGAGATGGAGAATAGTTTGCACCATCTATTTCATTAATTTTCTTAATTACATCTTGTGGGAAAAACAGGGGTGGTCCATTATCTAAAGGTGATGTTTCTACAAGACTGTTCATAGGAGTTGGTGGAATTCTTGTTTCAACAACTTTCAATAACTCTGGCGAAGATGAATCACCTTCCACTAAATCAATCAAACTTGAACTTTTTTCAGACATATCTCCAAGATTTTCTTGCCTATGGTTAAATTCACCATCAAACTCTACTAAATTGTCATCTTCATTAGTTTTCATTAGTAAATCAGTTGAATAATTAACCATGTCATTTTCTAATAGATTTGTCTCATCAAGTTCTTTCTGAACAGTAGGTGGTTGTCCTTCTGATGAATCACTGTTGAGGAAGAAGTCATCTGCTGGGGAATAATCAACAGAACGAGAAGATGACTCAGATCGAACTGTAACCATGGGTGCTAGATCAAAACTGAAAAGATCAAAGTTATCACTGCTGTTTCTTGACTGAGCTGTTTGTTCTTCTGCTATGGCCCCTTCAGGAATGGGGCTGTAAGAATCAAAACCAGGAAGGAGACTGTGATGAGATGCAGCACCTTCTGCAACTGGACTATCATCACTGAGAAAAACTGAGCTCTCCTTGGAAGACCGACTGCTTCTAATGGTAGCTAACCCACTATCTGGACTCACAAGGTCTATATTAACATCAGCCTGGGCTTGGATAGATCCATTGAGGTCTTGGGGATTTTCTATAAAATTGACAGAACTGGGCTGTGGTTCTATGTCTGAACCATACAACTCCATAATACCAGAAGAACCTTGTGAAAGTGGTGCACTCCCAGCAACAGCTTCAGTAGATGAAGTTCTGCTGTTGGATACCATTTCTGGTTGTCTCCTATTGATAACTTCCTTAATTAATAAAAATATTTGATCACAAGTGACTGAAGAATTTTCTTGCTGATAAATGAGGATTTGGTCACATCCACATTCCAAAAGATCCAGCTCCAAACAAGGATTCTGACATTCTTCTAACTCACAGCAAATCTGTGGAAAAATAAAATGTTACAGGAAGCTGTTGCAAGCACAGATGAAAACAAGTAAAACAGAAAAATAATAAATTGCTTATCTATTCTTTTTGATTGATTTCTCAATTATCTTGTACCTATCCTTTTAAGGAGCCCCAAACACATTAACTGGTAAATTCAAAGCCATTACATAATATTTATGTACCTTTTTTTATTTGATCCCTGTTGGGTTTTTTTATGTTTTATTCATCATTACTAAAACAAATTCAAAAGATGGTTGTTAACTATTCTAGGAAAGCTGACTAATATCTCAAAGGTGGAAAGGAAAGTTAATTCTTTGAAAAGGTTTTAATACATGCAAGTCAGGGCCATCCCTAGGGGGGTGAATCGGGGCAACCACCCCAGGCCCCACACTTTGAGGGGCACCATGGAGCCAGGTGGAGTGGTGCAGCAAGTCTGTGTTGCTGCCAGCTTCATGTCTGGCTGCTTGCCACCCTGCCGCCAGTTTCCTTGCGTCCAGGGGTGGGGCCCTGCACACACTGATTTGCCCCGGGTCCTGCACCCTGCTTGGATCGTCTCTGCATGCAGTCTACATATTTTACATAATAATTTTGGCCCCTGTCTTGCAATCAGGTGCATATACTTGAATCCTTGCACTTCTACTGCAAACATGTCTCCCAGGTGCCATCAGGATCTATTATTTCAAAAACTGTATGGTGTTCCAAGGATCCAATCAGATGGAAGATAAAACCAGACACTTGAATCAGAAGGCTTTCAAATTTGGGGAAAGCAGCATCATAGTCTGATTTAAGAGCCTAAACTGAACCATCCCTTTAATTTATATTGTTTTTTTGTTCATGGCCTAGTGATTGGAGCACTTGAGCAAGCCACAGTAAAACGCACAGCTAAGTCAAATAATAACAAAATTGTGGTGAAAATATTCTAAAGGGAAAATCATCTATCTCTTTCTTGTTTTCTTTAAACCACTGGATATTTCTGTTGGGTGGTTTTGGCTCAGTGGTAAATACAGTTCTGCTTTTTTACTGCTATATAAATAATACAGCCATAATGAACTTGCAGCATAAAGTGCTATAACAGCCCACACCATCACATTAAATGATTATGCTGTATTTAATCCCATCTAATTATACAATAAGTTGTCCCACGCTGTTTTAAACAATGCTTACTTCATAAAAAGATGTTATTCTTCTCAAAAATACTTACTTGATTGCACAGCTCTACATTTTCCGAGTACACCGCTATTTGTTGCTTTGTCTGCTCTTCCTCTGTTAAATAGTTGGCCAAAATAACAAGTACATCAAAAGTATATTTATCTATAAATGCTTTCAGGTCACCAAAGATATTCCTGTGAAACATGCAATCCTGAAATATACCAAGAAATTAAATATTTAAACAATGACTGTTAATTTCCATTTTTTTAGCTGTTTGAACAAGCAGCCAAGAATGTGAAAGTATAAGTTAATGGGTATAACTGAGAATAGAGCCTTACTCTACCTGTCATACCTAAAGCAGCTTTAATAATACCCAATATGTGTTGTAATTCCAAGGACTACTTTCACAATATAAAGGATTAGTTATTTTTAGGGATTTTAAAAAATATTGCAATATCTTCCATTTTGGAAATGAAAGCTAAAACTTATCATTTACCTTACCTGTTACAGTCAGTTTGTATTGTATGGTTGCTCTTGAACTACAGACTACTGCAATTTTCTGAATGGACGCATTTGTTTTAGAAAAAAAAAAGATATACAAGATTCATGGAATTTATCATATTAGTAATACATTTAAAGTAATTATTTTAAAAGGGTAACCAAATATCATTAAGGTAGCCAAGTCAAGCACTCAAAAAGTTAGGAAATGCTAGTTAAACCATTATGCATGTAACCTTATTTTTCCCCAGTTCTGTATGTGTTCTGAGGCATCCTTACATCTCAAAATCAGTACATAATCTTTTTTTCACTGAGCATTTGCCTAATTCAGAGCCTGATTCAAGGCTTTTTCAGCTCAATGTAATTCTCTCTAAATAGTGACTTACAGTAGTAGCAGAGGATTGGATAGGGTGGCACCTTGGGGCACTTGCTCTGGGGGTAGGGGGAGCAGCACTTTAACTAAGAGCAGTTCTGAGAGCCACCCAAATTAAAGTGCTGCAGCACCTCATGTATCAGCATCCCCACTCTTCAAAACGGCAGTGAGGTGCTTGAACTAAAGCTCATTTGATGAGCTTTAATTCAAGCGCTGCTGTTTTGAAGCATGGGAACACTGATACATGATATACAGGAGGCTGCAGGAGTGTAGTAATTACCACTCAATTCAATTTATCAAGTCTGCTCCAATGTGCTCATCAGAGTAGCCCCCACACTCATGTACAGGCACCCTTAGAAACTACCTATGCCTCTATGAACCACTTACTCTCTAAGGTGCCACTCTGCCCTACCTTCTGTCTGACTTCAGACTAATATAGCTGACTACTTCAGTAATCTCTAATAAGAAGGATACAGTAAGACAAGATAGCCTTAAAATGTTTGTTTTAAGTGGCTATCATTCTACAGCCAGTGATTCTCAATGTTTTCAGATTTAAGGTACCCCTATTACACTCAAGACATTCCTCAAAAAGTGCCACCTAAGATTAATAACAGAGCAATTCTTCTGTTGCAAAGAACTCAGGAAGGCCACAATAAGTCAGAGTGTTTTTTACACTATGTGTTCCTATTAGAAATCCCTGGGTTTATCTTGTTTGCATACCTAACAGTGCTAATTTTGAGTGACACATCATGGCACCTTGAAAGGAACTCATGGCACTCCAGGTTGCCATAACACCCTGGTTGAGAATCATAGCTCTACAGCAAATAACAAATATCCATAAGGAGAAAAAAACCGCATGGATTCTAATTCAATCTGAAGTTCCTCTATACTAAAGTTATCTTCAGCACTTCAAGTATAAATTAACTTTACAGTAGGTATAAATATAATCTAAAGTGACTGAGATCTTGCAGCGTAAACCAGGTGCCTCTCTTTCAAGTATGGGTAAAAGAAAAGCCTGTAATACGAATAATCTCTGTATTTCTTCAGTTCTCAGTTCTGGCAATAGCTCCATGAAATAATGAACACCAGTCTCAGAGAACATTTTATTCTTCCTTTATGCTTTTGTTATTTGTATTTGAGATAATTTATTGTTGTCTTCTAGCTAAGCACAATGTCAGATGCTGTAATGGTTCTTCTCTTGCTGCCAAGCTATGCTGCCCCTGAATAAACAGCAGTTCATCATCAACACAACACAACTGTATATACAGGTTGGCATTCCCCCGCCCTTCCCCATCTGCCTTCTACCTGATAAATTGCTATTTTGGTTACATGTATACAAATACTATTTATTAATCTGCTCAGATGTGTCCACAAAATGTGTTTCCCTCCCCTTAAATTAAAATTAAGAAAAATATTCTATTTGTCAAATGTTTAGTAAGTAAAAATATTGCTTTTCTACATTTAAAGATGCAGCTCAGTCTCTCTGCTTGCACAGTATGTAACAAAAATATTTTTTTTCTTTTTACATGTGCAGAATTGCTACACAAAGGGCATGTCTACACAAGACACATTACTTGAGATTAGAGCAAATTACTCCACAGTAAGCATCACTGTCTACATGTGCAGATGCTTACTGTGCAGTAATGGGCTCTAATTGTGAGTACATTTTCTGCCTGTAAATACAAGTAGCAAATGTACTCCCAATTTCTTATTGGGCTGTACAGCCCACATAGGCAGGAGATTTCTCCTTGCCCCGAGAATCTGTCTGCTGCCGGGGCACTGGAGCCTGGGTGGGAACTGTACCCTGGCAGAAGGGAACCACTCCCCAGTCATGATCATGGAGGTGTGGTTGGGAACAGGCTGCAGAGCGTGTTCCCTGGCCAGCTCCATGATTGCAGAATTGGGTGTGGAACAGGCGACCTTGCCCACCCCACAATCATGGAGCAGGGCCTGAGAACTGTCCTGGTCAGGAGCAGGTCCCAGCCCCATGGCCCAATAGGACCATCAAGGCACAGGACTTGGAAAGAACTGCAGGGGAGGAGAAGGTCCCAGCCCCCTGCCCTGATCCACTGGTGGGGCAGCTAGCAGCAAGAATCCCTGCCCAACCAGGGCCTTACTGCTAGCTGCCCCTCCAGTGGATCAAGGCAGTGGGCTGTGATTGCCCCCCACCTGCAGCTCTTTCCAAGTCCCTTGCCCCTAAGTGGGGAGCCAGGGCCGGTCCCTGATCAGGGAGCCGGGACAGACAGCCCCCAGAGGCAGGAAGCAACCTCCCGGTCCTGTGCTCCCGGTCAGCCCCTGGGCTAGCATGCAAGGGGAGCTGCAGGGGGCCAGTGCTCAGCATGTGAGAGGCTGTGAGGAAGAGGGTCAGCCAGAGAGACAGATGTGAAATCTTAATTCTGAGCACTAATCTTAGCCCTGAAGTTGTCGACAGGCAGCTCTAAGTCACAGAGCTGCTACAGTGCTCAGAATAGATATGAATGGATTTACTAGTGTGACTGAGAACAGAATTTAGCCAAAGAGTGCCAGATGAACAAAGGTTGCTGAGAGGATGAGCTCCTGTGAGGTAATGTAATATAAAGAGAATGGATTCAGATTTGGGATATTCTGAGAACCATGGCACATTTGTGAAAAGAAGTGAATCCAAGTCCCAACACAACTGCAATGCCCACAACTACTCACAATGCCCTAGCATGAATGCAAACATACTGAACCAAACCCTAGTTCCATTCTTATGTTCAAAAGTTTGACTCTTACTTACTACATTAGGTTAGTACATTAAGGCAAATGATTTATAAAACATGAAATGCATAAATTATCCATTTTTTTTATTTACATTCTATCATTCACTCTATAATTGGTAAACAAAGATGTTTCTCTGTTTCTGCTATGCATTTTCATAAGGAATCCAAAGAACTTCCACAGCAAAAATATTGTGGTGTTTAATGTTTAGGGCCTGCTTCTCATATATACCTATTCCCCTTTGCTTCTCACTGGTAGTGTAAAAATAATCATGAAAAGGCACGAATTACAGCTGCACTTTTTTAAGACTCCTACTAGTATGGTAGTAATGGGCCTTAGTATAAATAAGAATCAGCCCCTTAACTATAATATACACTTATATAACATGTTTATATGCAATACGCCTGCAAATGCTGATACATGTTTATATACATCTTAGTTCTTCCATTTATTAAATAATCCTTCATTTTAGGGGCTGACTCATGGATATTAACTTATACACACAGGGGCAGCATCCACACAAGATGCTGACTGTGCAGTAGCCTGAGACCACTGTGCAGTCAGCATTGTGTGACAGAAACCATGATGCAACGCTAGTGTGCAATAGTCTCAGGCAGCAGCATTGCAAAAAAGCCATTCGTCTGTGCTACTGCTCAATAAATCAGATTACTGAGCAGTCATTTAGTACTTGTTTATACAAATACTAAATGGCTGCACCATAACAACTGCACAGTCAGTGTCTCATGTAGACATGGTCAAGATGCATCTATGCATGCACTTACTGCAGAGTTGACTGATTAGCTCCGTAGCAAAGCATTACAGTCTACACATGACGACACAGGAAATTAACTCCGCCATAGGATAGTACTGTAAGGGACAGTAGTATCCTACAGTAGAGGAGTCATGTGCACTAAAATGCATGTGTAGACAGTGGCTGGGGCATGAGGGTGCTAAAGTGTGGGAGTTGCCTCCTGCCTAACCCTGCATTTTAGCACCCCCATGCCTCAGCCAGCCCCTCTACCACCCAACACCACCACCCAGAGCCAGAGGCTGACCCGCTGAGCACCCTGCCAGCCAAGAGCTGTTTTGCTGTGGCTCAGAGTGCTGTAGTCATGGGTGCATGTGTAGATGCTGCACATGGGAGCAACTGACTCTAGCATGAACTGTGCTGGAGCTTTTTGATTGCCTTAACAGCACGTGTAGATGCACCTACATATAAGTATCAAAGCCTAGGATTATAAACTCTTCAGGATAAAGAAAATAATTGCCTTCCTGTATTTCAACTCCCTGATCATTCCAGATGCTGTGGGAAGAGCATATTTTTAAAAGGCTGTTACCAGTGCCAGTCATGCTAGGCAAAGACTCTTCCTACATGATGCTGATCAATTAGTACTCTGACACTGAATGAAACTGACTTCTCTGTCAGATGCCTTGGCTCTGACTGATTGATGAATACCACATAGTACCAAAGTAAAATGAGCTAAAAAACACCCTTGAAGGTGTAAATGGTGCCCTTTGAAAGCTATGGAAGACAAATGGAGAAGTGTTATACAATGCTTCTTTCTGAATCAGGAAGCAGTGAATGGCAAAAAGAGAGGGTC